ACCAAAAGCTAACCTTCCTTCTGCATATCCGGTATTTGCGAGAGAAGTGTTTCAAAACTTTAAAAAAAGTCTTGGTGAGCACCTCCTGGGGTGCAGAGTGTTGTTCTTTGCTTCATATTTATAGAGCGTTCCTTCGCTCTAGATTAGATTATGGCACAGTAGTTTATGGATTCGTATGTTCTTCAACTCTCTTAAAACTAGATCCTATTCATTATCAGGCTCTGAGAATTCGTTCTGGAACTTTCAGAACCTCTCCTATCCAGAGCTTGTATGTTGATATATTTTGATTGTTATGAACAAGCTCTTGAGTTAAGGCATGAGCAATTGTCTCTTCATCAGTATTTCATAATCAATTCACAAACTAATCATCCTCTCCAGATCTATAAGCTTGATGACAGTTACAAACTTCTATTCTCTGTACAGCCTCTTAACACACACCCGGTTTTTTTTTTTTTTTTTTTTTTTTTTTTTTTTTGTTTTTTAGATGTGATTCACTGTTGAAAAATTACTGCCTATCAGATGTGATGGTCCAGCCAGTAAAACATCTAGAAATCCCACCATGGGAAAATCCACAAATTGAGCTTTTCGATGTGTTTCAGCTTCTGGATAAGAAAAACACAAATGAGATAATGTACAAGAAACTTTTTTTCAAACACAGGAATAAATACAGTGCTTTTATTCCGATATACACGCACGGGTCAAAATCAGCTGGCTATGTAGGAATATCGATCGTAGTAAGAGAGCATACGGACGCTAAAAGATTGCACAAGGCCTGTTCTGTATTTAGCGCTGAATTGGCTGCTCTGAATTCTACCCTCATGTTCATCACAAAGCAATTCGAGAGGAAATTTATCATTTACTCAGACTCATTAAGTGCTCTTAAAGCATTAGTTTGTATTTTTGACATCTGGAATCCTTTAATAATAGACATTTTATGTTTATATCGAAAATTAAAGAGCCAAAGGTATGAAATTTTTTACTGCCATGTATTTACCTGGCCATGTAGGTGTAAAAGGTAGCAGACATAACAGCAAAGTCTGCTACAGTTTTATCAAACCAGCTTGTGCCATCTAGTGATATTAGAGCAGTCATCAAGCAGAGAATACTAAATAAATGGCAAGCATTTTGGGACTTTTAATTCTTAAATAAATTGAGAAGAGTCAAACTGAAAATAGAAAACTGGGAGACGACTAGGAACCGTAGGGAGGAAGTTTTGCTTATTCGCTTAAGAATTGGTCACTCACGAGTCACGCACATTTACCTTTTGAAGGCGGAAAGTGAATCTCTTTGTTCAAACTGTAATAGTGTTTTGACTGCGCATCATTTTTTAATTGAATGTCCTGATTTTAACCATCTTTGTTTCAAGTATTTTAGCTACTGTGACTTGCCTCTTGACTGTATTATCGGGGAAGAGGTAAATGACAGTTTGTTCGATTACCTGAAAGAGATGGGTTTTTGTTGTTTGACTTATTTCTAAAATTTGTTCCTTGGAATTTGAATGCTGTAATTTTAATGCGTCATACTTTGTGTCTTTTAATCATGCTTCATAATTGAAACTATGTGTTTTATATATTAAGTTACTTCAGAATTCAGTATTTTCTCTCATCATTCGTTTTTAAAAGTGTCATCGAGTTTTAAACATGTTCTTGCCTGTATACTGTGTTTGTGAAATGTTAATTTCTGATGTTTTTTGACATGTTTTCTGGCGCATATAACCTTAAAGGTTTTGCGCCAGGAAATCCACTACCATTACTGCAGTCAGACTCCAGATGTCAGTCATACTGAGGTTGTGGTAAGGGATGTCTTCATGATTCTAGGAATCCCTATTTAGTAATAAGCAAGTATTATGATTTTTGCATCACATTTGAAGCAGACTCATTCTGTACTAAGAAATCAAATTACCTGGGCATTGGTAAGTACTTTGTCTATGCCCACATTTCTGGAAAAGATCTTTGATTTGTTGTTTCCAATAGGTTCTTAATTTTTATTTCTTTTAGGTAACTGGAAATAAATAACTTACTATATTTGTTTCCGTTCATGTAGGTTTTCCTTTTAAATAAATGCATGCCTATCTGTCTGTCTATCTAATGAGGGTAGTATGTTAAGAAATAAACAATATGGTTGAATATATGGAAAATTTAGAATAATAAATACTACTTTTGAATATAATAAATACTTCCGAAGAAGAAGGTAAACTAATCTTATTTATAATTGTTTACTCCCCATTAAGAACAAAATAAAATTTCAGGAAAAGGCCTTTCATCAGAGGCTTTGGTTCATGTAGTGCTATTTTTAATAATAAATGCAATATGACATAATACTTGCTCCGAAACCAGGTGCTCCGAAAAGGCATATATTTCTCTCTCTTCCTCCCCCCCTTTTTTAAATAATCAAAACTTGTACTTGAAGTTGAAAAGATCTAGTAGTTTTATATATATAAATATCCATATATATATTGTGAAGGAACTATATTAATATAAAATTGGAAAAAATTCCAGTGTAAAATTTCAAGTTAGGCAAAGAAGTGCTAGTTTCGCATAGATGTTTAATAAAACTCTAGCAATTTCAAGATTGATCAGTCACAGGTCTCTTAAAATTAATAGAGTTTAATTCAAAAACTTCTCTAAACTAAATTGCTTTTCTGCCTAATTCAAATATATTAATGTAATTATTTGGGTTCATTTTAATATTTATTTTTTATTACTAGCCATTACTTGATTTACTCAGTCATCAGAGAGAAGAAATAATTATAGCTGCAGTGACTATACATAGATTGAATTTTGTCAACATGAAACTGTAGTGTTTTTTATCAAAAAAAGTAGAAATAAGAAACTGTACAAATTTTTACTTCCTCAGCTAGTGCTGAATAAAAATGAAAAGATTCAGAAGTTTTCTTTATATACTGAATTTAAACTGACTCGTCATCTATTGACAAAACTCAAAAGTAAAATCATGGACTTCCATTTTATCAGTACTTTTATAAAAGAATATATTTGTATAGCTATCAAAGAATTGAAAACGGTTTTGATGAAATAATAGAATCTAAGTGAATAAAAAAACCCAAAAGTCTAAATATGACATTTTGCCTGGCAGCTCTATTCATGGCACGTAAAATAATCCAACTAGAGATCAAGTCATTCTGCTTTCATATGTTTTAGATTGCATATTGAAAACATAATTTAATGTATTAAATGAATATGCAATGAAAGCAGTTTTTTATTTTCTTTGTTTCTTTGTAGTTAAGAGTGTAGAATTTTGGTCAATGACAAATTTTTTGTTATTTGTGTGTTGACATTTATTATTCTAAACTTTACTTTTAAATTTTAGGAATTCCTAGGAAACCAGTTCTAATTTACCAGTCAGAAACATAGATCATAAGGTAAAAATATAAAAGTGAAATCTGAGCATTATAAAATTTCTAGAATATAATAAAAGTGAAAAAAAGAAATCCTTTGTATGTGAAATTAAAATAGTAAACCGAAGTTGTTTAATTTTAATGAGAAAAACTCTGCTGTGGAGAAATGAAACCTGGCAAAAATTCTTGGAGAGTTGTAAAAATATTTTGTACCAGAGAATAATTATTCTTTTGACATAAACATTTTAGTTACTGAAGAATTCATGAAAGATGTAAAGCTACAGTACATTTAACAGTGTCTCGTAACCAGTGATGTGTTCTTTTATCTTTATTTGATGCAACTACATTTACATAACCTTAAAAAAATGAAATTTGCTTTAATTTTTTGGAAAAAGTATGCATTTTATATCAGAAAAATATCATACATTGGTTTCAAACAGAGATAGAATTGCTAAGTTTTTTGTTTTGCCAGTAGTGGGACATGCAACTCGCCCTATGTTGTAGGGCATGGTTATTGTACTGTAGATATTACTTTCATAGCTGTAGCTTGCTGTATTCACCATAATTTATGGATGAATGGAATTTCTTATTCACCATGCTAAAATATAATTATTGATATCTTTTGTTAATTTGAATCTATCATTATTATCAGTAACTTGTATAAGAAAAAAAATTTTTTTTATTCTTTGCATTCTTTCCATTCTCTTTGCAAGGCCCAAATAAGAATTAAGTTAGATGTATTTTTACCAAAAAGTAATTCGTATCCAGGATTGTCAGTTTTAAGACCTACATTTGATTCATTTCTTAAATTGGAATTATGGGTATATAACTAAATATTCAAGCAATATATAATCATTTATCAATTATTTTTTTAACTTCATTAATGCTAATTATATGCATTGTTTTCAATAAATGGATTTTTTATCAAGTTTTAAATATTTAGGGGAAATATTTCAGTAAAGGATCAATGTTTTGAGCCTCAGGGCATGTTTGAGCAACAGTTTTTCATTGTGATTTCTCATCATAACCATGTCCCATATAAATACACGTATACATTCGGTGCTGCAGTTTATTTCAGTCATCTTACTTTTTTTTGTTCTGAATCTCATATCACTGAATCACTGCCTCAACAACCTCATCTACTGTGTTGAAGAGGTGTCCTCTAAATGAAATCTTCATAACAAGGAACAGATGAAGATCTAGTAGGTCCAGATTAGGGGAATAAGGTAAATGAGAAAATGAAGCCACAGTGGTGCAGCTTGTGCAGTTGTGGCACTATAAGAAGGTCTACCATCTTAATGCAGGATGACTTCTCTCTCAGTTTTACAGAAAACATATCACATTCGTAAAACCTAATACCCTACAAAATTTTAAATACCTAGTTTAATAATTTTAACATATGCTGTAATAAAAATTTAAACACTATCTATTCTCTCTGAGGCTCCAAACATTTTGCTTTTGTTATGTAATTAGTCAGTATTATTTCTGCCTATATTTCTAAAAAGCTTTTATAATTATTACTAGTTAATGAATAATTGTATGTACTGTTTAGTATTCCAAATTTAAAAAAAGAAAACTCTTTGATGTATGAGATGTATGTATATATATACATTGTATATTTATTTAATTATTTATTTATTTTCAGATATGTACTAGTTGTACAAAGTCAAGATGTTCAGTAGACTCTTGTCAATCTGTGGATTGCCCAATATTGTTTAAATTGAACATGGCTAAGAAAGACTTATCTCAGGTTCCATACTTAAAAAAAATATTAGCTCATGAACTATTTTAATGTGCAATTCTCTTGTTATACACTGATGGATGTGTTATTAATTCTTGTACAGTGTAAATGCCATTTATGTGTTCATTATGTAAATACTTATTATTTTGATGTATATACGAAAACATAAATCTATTGTAAATATTTTTAAAAAAAGAGTATCTACTTTATTTGTTTCATATATTTAGGAGATGTTTATTTTTCTGAAAATATATATTCATTTTATTAGATACATCTGCTCTTTGGTTATGCAGAGGTGACTGATATTGTATAAAATCACACAAAGAAGTATTAAATATCAAATTTTTCATTGGAATGTTTTGAAAAATCTAGACACAAAACCATTTGTTTGTTAAAACAAGATGTAGATTTGTTCTCATGTTGAAATAATGTATAGAATCACAACTTCATATTTTACACAAATATTTTTTATAAATTTTTATATATTTTTGTTCTTGATTTCTTGTGACATATTTAAATAGATCATTGCAATTTTCATTAAATTTAACTAACTGTAGTTGATTATTACTTAAAGAAAATGTAAGTTCTCATTCAAAAACTGTAATCAGTGACAGTTTTTGATTTTTCATGTATTTCTGTCCTGGGGGAAAAATTAAGTATTTTAGATAGTTTATGAAATATAAATTTAAACTATTATTGAACTATGTGTTATTTATGTAATAAAGCATACTTTAAATATAAATGGTTAAGATATGTTACTTATGAAATTTTTGCTTAAAACAGATTTTCAGGATTATATTTGTCATTCAATTAATAATATAAATGTCATATTTTTTTTTAATTTCTTAACTTGCTGTTGAAGTTTAGAATTACAGATTATTTAAATTGTGCTTGTGTTCATGTATTTTCAATCTTTTTATACTATTTGAATATTAAAAGAAGATACAGTATAAAGTCCCAGATCCGGTCTCGTCGGGACTTTCGCGATTCCAAATTTCGGATTTTTCCGGATATTAGATCATCATATTTAAATCTAGTAAGATGACATGTAGAAATAATAAAATTAAAAGTATGAAATCATGATTATGAAATAATGAAGCATTTATGATCTAAAGGATATCAAAATCCCCCCCCATAAAAAAGCTTAATATTTATTTTTTTACTTTATTAAACACATCTTTCAAGTTGTTTAAGTTGCTTTGTTTTTTGTGCTAATACTTTCTCTTTTATTCTATTGACAAACATAATTTCTTATTCAGTTACAAAGTTCCATTGTTGAAGTCTTGTAATTGCTGTGTCTAGAATTCTAATTAACTAAAGACAAGCTGTTCCGCTAAATTTTATCTGGCTTCTATCGCACACTGAGACAATTAAGCCTGAATTGTATTAGTTTAGTTATTTATTATACTTACACCTATTTCCTGCACATGCTTAAGGCTAATTGAGGGTGGCCGCCTGATGCAGTCTGTGTGACTACCAAGCGCCTCCCTTTTGTCTTCCCTAAATTCTGCCGCCCAGTGCAGCCATATGAACTCTGGCGCTGGTTCTGGGTTTATGTGATTAACAAATCAGTTATTCTTATTTCAAATAGCACTAAGTGTAATCTTTTTGGCGTATGAGTATCATTAACAAAATCTACTTTTATATGAATAAAAATTTTTGTTAAATTTTTCCTGTCAACATTTCTTAGCACATTTAACTTAAATCTGTAATCATTGCCAAGCGTAATGTCAACATAAACAGTTGCCATTCTCTTTCTCAATTGCTAATATGAAAAAAAAATTCTTTAGATATCGCTTCATGAGTCATTTCTCAAGTTGTGATGTGTTGATAAACATGCGGTGATGAAAACAAAATATAATAATGATTATTTGGTTAGGAGCTAGGTTGGGAGTCAAGGGTATAATATATTAGTAGGTGTAAAATAGCCAAATTATTGGTCATACAAATTTATGCTAAAATGAATGTTTCTTCAGTAACGAGGTATTTTGTTTAGTGCCGAAGTGAAATTAAGAATCGGGACTCTCCACATGTTTTATTATGTGCATGGAGAATCAAATGTGCGTGCATGCAGCTAAAAAATATAAATATATATGGTACGGTGAAACACCGAAATTTGGAGAATGTCGACTTTCACCGGTGAATGTCACCATTCACATAGTCACTCGGTGTATGTCAGAAATATTTTCCAAATACTCTTATTTCTGATTTACACCGGTAAATGTCGACATTCACCATGTACTAATGGTGAATGTTGAACACATAAGAATAGTACTATATTTTCTTCTCCGTAATTCAGTCACGAAAAACGCACTGGAGACTTAAAATAAGGACTTAACATAAGAACTTAAAACACACAGTACATTCAAAATGAGAAAGGAAAATAATAGAAGTTAAAAACTTTCTAAATTAAGTGATTCAAATCTTATTTATTGCAACAACTTAAACTATTGACACTTTGAATTGCACAAGGAACCCTTGCTTTTACAACTGCATTTTTTTTTTTTTTTTTTTTTTTGTGGTGTGTGTGTGTGTGTGTGGTGTGTGGAACACTTCCTTTTCCAATGACAGCGTGTACATTTACTCCTCTCTTTTCAATCTACACCAGAGCATATCTGTGATTGTCAACATACACCAGTGAAGGTCCGAATGTAGAAGAATGTAATGCAATATTCGATCTTTCACCGACGTATTTGGTGAATGTTGACATTCTCCGGTGAAAGTCGACATTCTCCAATTTCGGTCTTCACGGTAACATATATATATATAATAAAAAATTTTTAAAAGTTGGTAGTGGCCTGCGAGGTCCTTATTTTAGATCATTCCGGATATTGGACATCCGGATCTCAGACTTGTACTGTATAAAAATTTTTAAAATTTGTATATTTAATTTAAAAAGTTCTAAATTTGTAGGCTCATAAAAAAAAATTAAAAACTTTTTTTTTTTTTTTTTTTTTTTTTTTTTTTTAAACCAAAAGCATTTTAACTGAATGCTATGTTTTTATCATGTTAATACTGTGTTTATAATTCAGCTCTTTTATCTGTTTTGGCTGTCCTTTAATTTGCAGCTGGCTGCATTTTTGTAAGTTATTTATATATTTTAAAAGCATAATACCCTAAATGCTGATTAAAATCAGTATATTTTAACAAAAAAACTGTATGTCACTTTTTTTTATTCAAAAATTATCTTTTCTCTTTTGGTTTCTATGTGCTGCAAAATATATTATATTTATATTATTTTAAAAATAGTAAATGTCATAATATATGGTAATTTTTTAATGAAAAAAATGGTGTGATTTAAATATCTTTAAATTAATATCATTTTTGAGGTGTTCCTTTAATATTTTCTCTCCTAAAGTTTATAATGATATATATGAAGTATAAAGGGATTTTGCATTTGTATATGGAAGTGAATTGAGAAGTTCTTTATTTTGAATTTAGGGTAATTCTTTGTTTTGCAGTAGATTATATGTAGAACTAATTATATTGGAAGTAATATTTTATTTCTATTTTGGGAGTTTAATAAGAATTAATAAGCTATGCAAGTTCACTGAAGCTGCAATAAATGTTAGCAATCTATTTTATTGAAACCTAAGGTTTAATGGGGTACATGTTATGCATAGAAATAAATTTTATTTTTCCGCTTGAATATAATGTTTATAAACTCTGATAAAATATGTCTTTAGATACTTGAAATACTGTAAAAAGTTTTAAAAATCTGTTTCCATTAACTGCTTGTTATAATGAGATTGATTTGATGCAGATATTTTACATATGAAAATACAAACTGTATCTATACTGTTATTTTTTAATTTTTCCATTAGCTATCAAGAATTATTTATATTATTATATATGAAATTCCATATAACATATTTTAATGATCATCTTTCTTGAAATTATTTTATGTCTTTCAAAATTAATTATGACTTTAAATAAACTGTCGTAGTTGCCAATTCTCTTGGTTTTCCATTACATGTTCTCGTAAATCACTGAACCTTCCAGTTTTTAATTTTTAGCCTTTACTAAGCAGAACCTCTCTGAGCAATGAATAAAATGTACTGAATTTATGAAACTTAAATTATGCAAATTCCGTCCCCCAAGGGATTTTCAACATAAATTTTCTTATTAAATTTTATATGATCTAAATTATTTTAATCTACTATAGACATTTATAAAATTTTTATGAAGATTGAACCAATATTTAATCTGAATATTTGTATTTTTGTTAATCAATCTAAGGAGCATTACTAAGTTTATCTGAACAATAGAATGTACATTAATTGTATATTTTAGTTTTACTATGTTTAAAAGTGCTTCAATAAATTAAAACTTTTCATTGAACTTCAGGATTTTTTCAGCATAAAAGCGTGAGAAAAAAGGGGAATTAGCCAGAGGGTATAAAATTTAGAAAATCTAATTAAATGTTAAAATATTTTATGTCAGGATCATGTCATAAATGGTGAATTACCTAATTCATATCTTTTAAAGCTTGGAATTCTTTTAAAAGGATGGTTCTGTGCAGCACAAAGACCATCCAGAAATTCCCTTTTTTTCGGGAGGGGCGGTAAGTGGGCAGCTATGAACTTTGCAAAACTGTGTCTGAAACTTTGCCCAACTAGAATACCTTTATTGTTGTTTAAACTATTCATGTTATCTGTATTTTGTAGTTGTTCAAACAATGCAAAAGTTTTTTTTTTTTTTTTTTATTGTATTAATATTATGAAGAAATTGTTTTCTCTTTTGTAAATATGGACTGTCTTTTTGCATTTTGTAACTAAAGTGGAAATTATGTTTATTTCAGTACGGTGCTTGAACAGGATTCATACAATCCTTAAGAGTCCTTAAAAATCCTTAGGTTTATTGGAATTGATTTTTGGTCCTTTTAAAAGTCTTTAATTTCGACCAAATTTTTTGAAAGTATTTTTTAAAACATTATAACATTGATAGTTCATTAAAATAATGCTAATATGTTGAAATTCTATTCAAGAAATAACATTAAAATGAAAAATTTTTATTTTTCGCTATCGTACTATAAAGTGACATTACTTTCCATTTTTTTTACTAGTATAAAATTTATTATACAATATTTGGAATCTGAAAACTAAACAAGGTATTAAATGCTTAAATTGTGCCTTAGCACAATTTACAAAACATTTCTTAGCAAAATAGCTATGTAATTAATTAAAAATGCCTTCATTTAAATTTTTCCATGGTAAGAGTTTTTCCCATGTAATTGTCTCAATATGCATCAGTTTTCTCTATAAAATTAATTTTACCCTTTTTTCCTGTAATTTTTTTTCGACATATTTCTGACCTTTTTGCTGTTACAGAATTGGTAGGGGTAATTTTTCTTTAGGATTTTAGACATTGCAACTTGGAAAGTTTAGAAGGATTTGAAGGCAAATTTTATAGACCTATCTAATCTAGAAGTTTCCAGAAAAATGTCTTCATGGTATTAAACATATAATGGATATATTTTACAGAAAGTTTGTGATGAACTTGTTCTGAAAGAACAGTGAAATCGTAATATTTGAATGTTTTATTTCTGATACTAGAAGTCTAACCTAACATGTTTATCTTCCCATTGTTTTCTCTACTTTCCACTAGACACAAGCATGAAAAATATCAAAAATGCTTCTAATTTGATCATGTGAACAGACATTTATAGAAAGGAATTTTTCTATTAATAAAGAAATTGAAGTTTGAAAATTTTGAAGATTCATCTTATATATCTCAATGCATCATCAGTGGCATAGCTAGGGTGGGACAAGGGGAAACATCTGTGCCTGGGCACAGCATCCATGGTAATTGATGTAACAAAATTTTAGAATGAAATGTTTTTCATTCTTGGCGTTGCAAAGATGGGCATACAAAATCTTCAGTTGTCCCCAGGTTCTGAAAACCCTAAGGATTTTTAAGGACTCTTAAGGATTGTACGAATCCTGTTCAAGCACCGGACTGAAATAAACATAATTTCCACTTTAGTTACAAAATGCAAAAAGACAGTCCATATTTACAAAAGAGAAAATAATTTCTTCATAATATTAATACAATAAAATTTAAAAAAAAAAAAAAAACCAATTAAACTTTTGCATTGTTCATGATACACACGACTGCTG